CACTGCCCATCAAAGCACTTGACAGTTGACCATTAGGGTCTGAGTTCGTTAGGGAAGTTACAGCACCAGTCACGATGGTTACGCAAGAGACCCATTGAGAGCAAGTCACCTTTTTTATTATTGAGTCTCCTGATTTCCCTGTTGTGTTGGGTCTTCCCTGGTTAGCACTACACAACCCCACCTTTTCATGGCCGCAGACGGTTCTCACGGGGTGGTCGCGAGAGTGTCAGGGTAGGTATCTAGCTGCTTCCATTGGTGCAACCATGTTGGAAAGTCCAGACACGACCTCCACCGTGCGCATTCCCCCCGAATACCTCGATTTGCCGCACGCGTTTTCCAAAACGCAGGCGACCAAATTACCACCTCGTCGGGCGGGAGATTGCGCGATAAATCTCTGGGTAGAAGCTGTGCCTCCCAGGAGTCATGTATTTCCCCTGTCGCAGGCTGAAAGGGAGAAGATGGAGACATACGTCTCCGAGTCCCTGCACCAGGGGTTCATACGTCCCTCCACTTCGCCCGCCTCCTCGAGTTTCTTTTTTGTGAAGAAGAAAGACGGAGGTCTGCGCCCTTGCATTGATTACCGAGCACTTAACAAGGGGACAATTCGTTACAGTTATCCTCTACCCCTCATTCCATCTGTAATCGAGTCAATGCATGGGGTGCGCTTCTTCACAAAATTAGATCTCCGGAGTGTGTACAACCTGGCGCGTCTGAGAAGGGGACGAGTGGAAGACAGCATTCAGCACAACCAGGGGGCATTACGAATACCTGGTGATGCCGTACGGTTTGATGAATGCTCCATCAGTCTTCCAGTCCTTTGTGAATTAGGTGTTTCGGGACATGCTTGGTCGCGGTGTAGTGGTCCAATGTCAACAACTACAGACCAGTATCCCTTCTTTCTTTTCTCTCCAAAACTCTTGAGCGTGCCATCTTTAGCCAACTCTCTTGCTATCTCTCTCAGAATGACCTTCTTGATCCAAACCAGTCAGGTTTCAAGACTGGTCATTCAACTGAGACTGCTCTTCTCTGTGTCACGGAGGCTATCCGCACTGCTAAAGCTAACTCTCTCTCCTTTGCTCTCATCCTTCTAGACCTATCTGCTGCCTTTGATACTGTGAACCATCAGATCCTCCTCTCCACCCTCTCCGAGTTGGGCATCTCCGGCGCGGCTCACTCTTGGATTGCATCCTACCTGACAGGTTGCTCCTACCAGGTGGCGTGGCGAGAATCTGTCTCCGCACCACGTGCTCTCACCACTGGTGTCCCCCAGGGCTCAGTTCTAGGCCCTCTCCTATTCTCGCTATACACCAAGTCAATTGGCTCTGTCATAACCTCACATGGCCTCTTCTATCATTGCTACGCAGACGACACACAATTCATTTTCTCCTTTCCCCCTTCTGATAACCAGGTGGCGAATCGCATCTCTGCATGTCTGGCAGACATATCAGTGTGGATGACGGATCACCACCTCAAGCTGAACCTCGGCAAGACGGAGCTGCTCTTCCTCCCGGGGAAGGACTGCCCGTTCCATGATCTCGCCATCACAGTTGACAACTCCGTTGTGTCCTCCTCCCAGATTGCAAAGAGCCTTGGCGTGACCCTGGACAACACCCTGTCGTTCTCCACTAACATTAAGGCGGTGACCCGCTCCTGTAGGTTCATGCTCTACAACATTCGCAGAGTACGACCCTGCCTTATACAGGAAGCGGCACAGGTCCTAATCCAGGCACTTGTCATCTCCCGTCTGGATTATTGCAACTCGCTGTTGGCTGTGCTCCCTGCCTGTGCCATTAAACCCCTACAACTCATCCAGAACGCCGCAGCCAGTCTGGTGTTCAACCTTCCCAAGTTCTCTCACGTCACCCCGCTCCTCCGCACACTCCACTGGCTTCAGTTGAAGCTCGCATCTGCTACAAGACCATGGTGCTTGCCTACGGAGCTGTGAGGGGAACGGCACCTCCGTACCTTCAGGCTCTGATCAGTCCCTACACCCAAACGAGGGCATTGCGTTCATCCACCTCTGGCCTGCTGGCCCCCCTACCTCTGTGGAAGCACAGTTCCCGCTCAGCCCAGTCAAAACTGTTCGCTGCTCTGGCACCCCAATGGTGGAACAAGCTCCCTCACGACGCCAGGACAGCGGAGTCACTCACCACCTTCCGTAGACACTTGAAACCCCACCTCTTTAAGGAATACCTGGTATAGGATAAAGTAATCCTTCTACCCCCCCTTACTCCACCCCCCCAAAAAAAACAAAAAAACATTGTAAAGTGGTTGTCCCACTGCCTATCATAAGGTGAATGCACCTATTTGTAAGTCGCTCTGGATAAGAGCGTCTGCTAAATGATGAAAAATTTAAATGTAAAATGTCTACATCGATGACATTCTGGTGTATTCCGCTACGCGCCCCGAGCATGTGTCCCTGGTTCGCAGAGTGCTGGGCCGACTGTTGGAACATGACCTTTATGCCAAGGCAGAAAAGTGTCTGTTTTTCCAACAGTCCGTCTCCTTCCTCGGATACCACATTACCACCTCAGGTGTGGAGATGGAGGGAGACCGCATTTCAGCCGTGCGTAATTGGCCGACTCCCACCACGGTAAAGGAGGTGCAACACTTTATTGGCTTTGCCAACTACTATCAGAGGTTTATCCGGGGCTTTGGCAAGGTCACAGCTCCCATCACCTCTCTGTTGAAGGGTGGGCCATCCCGGCTCCGCTGGTCTGCTGAGGCTGACAGGGCCTTCAATAACCTGAGGGCTCTGTTCACCTCAGCCCCGGTACTGGCCCATCCCGATCCATCACTACCGTTCGTAGTGGAGGTGGATGCGTCCGAGGTAGGGATAGGCGCTGTCCTATCTCAACGCTAGGGCACGCCACCCAAGCTCCGCCCCTGTGCCTTCTTCTCCAAGAAGCTCAGCCCGGCGGAGCAGAACTACAACATTGGTGATCGGGAGCTGTTGGCTGTTGTCAGAGCCCTGACCATGTGGAGGCACTGGCTGGAGGGGGCGAAAAACCCTTTCCCCGTCTGGACTGACCACCGTAACCTGGAGGAGGCAGAACCCTCGCCAGGCCAGGTAGGCCCTGTTCTGCACCCGGTTTGAATTTACACTGTCCTACATACCGGGTACAAAGAATGTGAAGGCAGACGCAATGTCATGGCTGTACGACAAAGAGGAGACGCCCATAGACAACACCCCCATACTCCCGGCCTCCTGCATTGTGGCGCCGGTAGAGTGGGCGGTGGGCGCGGACATAGAGCGGGCGTTACGCACAGAGCCATCTCCACCTCAGTGCCCAGCTGGGCTGTGGTACGTGGCGTCTCTTGTCCGTGACCGTCTGATCTATTGGGCACACACGTCCCCCTCCTCTGGTCACTCTGCCTGACTGGAAAGTACTGGTGGCCTACCTTGGCTATGGACGCGAGGGTGTATGTCTCCTCCTGCTCAGTGTGCGCCCAGAGTAAGGAACATAGGCACCTCCCAGCGGGTAAGTTACATCTCTTACCAGTTCCACAATGGCCATGGTCCCACTTGTGTATTGCCTTCAGTACCTCGTGGAGTGGGAGGGGTATGGTCCAGAGGAGCGGTGCTGGGTCCCGGTTTGGGATATCCTCGATCCCTCCCTGTTGCGGGATTTCCACCGTCGCCATCCGGCTCGCCCTGCTCCGCGTCTACCTGGCCGTCCCCGAGGCCGGTGTCGGTGCGCTGCTGGAGCTGCGCGTCAAGGGGGGGGGTACTGTCACGACTTCCTCCGAAGCTGCCTCCTCTCCTTGTTCGGGCAGGCTTCGGCGTTCGTCGTCACCGGCCTTCTAGCCACTGCTGCTCCTCATCTCATCATTCCATTTGTTTTGTCTTGTTTATTAGACACACCTGCTTCATATCCCCTCATCAGTACCTGTATAAGTGTTCCCTCTGCCCCCCCTTGTCTTTGTGTGTGATTGTTTATTGTGATGGTTATTATAGCTCGGTGGAGCTCTTTTGTATTTTGTATCGCCGGGATATTCATCCATGTGCCTTGTTGTTTTCCAGTGCGCCGTATTTCCGCACTGGAGTGTTTTACGCATTGCTGCTTACCGCTGTGTTACGGAATAAACCATTTATTCTGTGATTTTCCCTCCTGCGCCTGACTCCTTCTAAATCACACATCACAGTTCCTCTGCATTTTGAATCTGACCAAGGAGTTCCTGGATTCATTTTCTCAAGTCCCAAGGATTCACATCTATGTTAAAGACATAAATACAGGTATGTTTTCTTAAAGGTCCATTGCAGCAGTTTTTCTCTCAATATCAAATATATTCTAGGTAATAACTAAGTACCTTACTGTGATTGTTTTCAATTAAAATTGTAAAAAAATAGAAAGAGCAATTTTGCTAAGACTGTCTGGGAGTGGTTTCAGTGGGTATTGGAAAACTCAGAATTAGCTGTTCTTGGAAGAAAGATTTGGGAACTCTCTTTCCTATTGCACTATTGACTAATTTATCATGGAAGGCCAAAACCTCCTCCCACCAAAACAGACTGAAATGTCAGGTGGTCTTTTCAAACAGCACTTACACTAACAGAGAATTATCATAATTGTAACAATTTCACATTATTATTCCAACCTCATACTTCGGAAATATACATACAACACAGGAAAATCATATTTTTGACTGCACTGGGCCTTTACGTTTCAATTTGAGGATAATAATGATTGTATCTGTATATCTTCAGGGGAATAACCATTTAAACTAAGTAATAATTTCCACACTTACTCTGTGTGTGGTTGACAAGATGTTAATGATCCATATGAATACGTTTTACAAGGGCAGTCAGCACACACAGTATCTGTAGATGTTGTTCCTGCACAAATACATGTTGAAACGTTAATGAAAAATTCCATTAGGTTTTTTCCCCCACTTCTTTAATTCCATTAACTGTTAGTGATTATTCAAACTAAAGTTAACAACTTGACTCAATTGAATTATGACAACACAATTAGTATAATGAGTGAGACAGAAGACCAACCTGTGTGGCTGATGTATTGACCAGGTTTACAGCTGCTGTGTCTCTGGGCTGCTCTACAACCATCCTTAGTTGGGTCTAGACAGTAGAACCCCTCCAGTGTCCAACAGACAGTGTTTGATGAAGGTGTACATGGCTGCTTTACCTTCAAACCCAAACCTTTGGAGAAGAAATGGCATGTATTATCTGATGCAGATACAACTGACATATTCTCATAGCATAACAGCAGAGACTAACATATCAGTGTCTGTGTCAGGATTTCAGTGCAGACCACAGGAGGTGGGTGCCACCTTAATTGGGGAGAACAGGCTCGTGGTAATGACTGGAGCAAAATCAGTGGAATGGTATCAAATACATCCAACACATGGTTTCCAGGTGTTTGATGCCATTCCATTTGCTCCATTCCGGCCATTATTATGAGCAGTCCTCCCCTCAATAGCCTCCACGGGTGCAGACACAAAGGACCATTCTAACCTGGATCACAATTGGTACACACTTTGAATTTTATGAGACCATTGGGCTCATCAAGGAATGTAGAATCAACACAGGGCACACGGCTGGTGCTGGTGAATTCAGTACAATGCTTATAAACACGATTTCCTGCAGAAGAGAGAATCACAATGTCATGTTATTCTGTTAGTGTTGATAATGTCTGGTGATTCATATGATGTAAAGAGACAGTCCTAACCTGGTGAACACATGGGACAACATTCATCCCCTATTCTGTAGTCATCTCTACCACATGCAATTCAGGATCCAATGCTTTCGAGCACCATAATAGGTCTCTGGAAGAAGAGAAAATCTAAACTGATGGTGTGTATTCATCAAACTTACAGAAGTAGTTCACAGAATTCTAACCCCAATATTCACATTTCAAATATAATACTTGTAATTATGTGGGACCATTTTAAACAGGCTTTTGTGAGTGTGGTGGCGCCCCCTGGTGTGTTTTATTTTTTTGTCTTTAAAGGTGTAACACCAGACCCAAGATCTCATAGGTTACTTGCAAATTCAGTCAATAAATGTGAAAATGTGCTTCTCTCCACCATGTTTTTTCTACAAGGTTTCAGTAAAATGGACAGAACTAGTAGGCTAATAATAACTCAGATTTATATTTCATAGAGGAAATACAGTATTTACATTGATCATTTGTTTTTGAAGAAATCTAAACTATTCATAAAAATTACAGAGCTAGTTCTAACCAAAGTATTCAGATTTCAAATATATAATGATTGTAAATAAGTAGGACGGTTTTAAACAGGCTTTTGTGAGTGTGGTGGCGCCCCCTGGTGTAAATGAATTGAGAGTACTGTGTGGTGTCAGACATTTTCGTTGCATGAAACATGCCAAGCCACAAAATGTGCAAATCAGAAATGTTTCACTTACAGTCCATATCAAGCTTTCAAACTGTGCCATGGTTCCTCAATCATCACCAAGTCACTGGAAGACCCACACACTGGATTTGTTCTTAGGAGTTTTGAAGAATCGAGATGAACTGACCTGTAGACTTCATGGATTTTAGTACATGTACTGTATAGTAAGAATAGCTCAATTATATTCTGCACAAATATTGCTTGTACTGCCCTGATATATATATATATATATATATATATATATTTATATATATATATATATTTATATGACTCGTTTTACTGTGGATATCGATACTTTTGTACCTGTTTTCTCCAGCATCTTCACAAGGTCCTTTTCCACAAGATTTGCACTTTTCTCACCAAAGTACATTCATTTCTAGGAGATAGAACGCGTCTCCTTCCTATAACCTGAAAGGCCGCTCAGCAAGGAAGAAGCCACTGCTCCAAAACCGCCATAAATGTGATAAGTGTGATAGAAGGAGTCAGAAGCAGGAGGGTAAATCACAGAATACAGAGTTTATTCCGTCGTACACAATTGCGCTAGATAGCGACACACGAAAACAGGCACAGGGGAAACTATCTACCCTGGCAATACACGGTACGGTATACTCCAACAATATACGGGTACAGGGGAAATATCTACCCTGGCAATACAACGTGCGAGTAGCTCCACCGAGCTCCACTACTCTCACAAGAAACAATCACCCACAAGGACAAGGGGGTCAGAGGGCACACTTATAGACAGACTAATGAAGGGATAAGAACCAGGTGTGTGTAATTGACAAGACAAGACAAATGGAATTATGATATATGGAGCGGCAGTGGCTAGTAAGCCGGTGACGACAAACGCCGAACCCTGCCCGAACAAGGAGGGGAGGCAGCCTCGGCGGAAGTCGTGACAGTACCCCCCCTTGATGTGCAGCTCCAGCAGCGCGCCGACCCCGGCCTCGGGGACGGCCAGGAGGACGCGAAGCAGGGCAAGCCGGAGGGCGACTGTGGAAATCCCGCAACAGGGCGAGATCGAGGATATCCCTCATCGGGACCCAGCACCGTTCCTCCGGACCGTACCCCTCCCACTCCACAAGGTACTGAAGGCCCCCCACCCGACGCCTCGAATCCAGGATGGAACGGACAGAGTACGCCGGGGCCCCCTCAATGTCCAGAGGAGGTGGAGGAACCTCCCGCACCTCAGACTCCTGGAGCGGACCAACCACCACCGGCTTGAGGAGAGACACATTAAACGAGGGGTTAATACAGTAATCGGGGGAAGGAATAACCTATAAGTGACCTCGTTGATTCTCCTCAGGACTTTGAATGGCCCCACAAACCGCAGGCTCAGCTTCCGGCAGGGCAGGCGGAGGGGCAGATTCCGGGTCGAGAGCCAGACCCGATCCCCCGGTATGAAGACCGGGGCCTCACTGCGGTGGCGGTCAGCGTTGGCCTTCTGACGACGCACGGCGCATTGGAGGTGGACGTGAGCAGCGTCCCACGTCTCCTCCACGTGCCGAAACCAGTCATCCACCGCAGGAGCCTCGGTCTGGCTCTGGTGCCATGGTGCCAGAACCGGTTGGTAACCTAAAACATATTGGAATGGTGTTAGATTAGTAGAGGAGTGGCCTGATTTACCCATTCCACCTTCCCATTTGACTCGGGGTGGAACCTAGAGGTCAGGCTGACCGAGACCCCCAGACGTTCCATGAACGCCTTCCAGAACTTGGACGTGAACTGGGGACCTCGGTCGGACACTATATCCTTTGGTACCCCGTAGTGCGGGAAGACGTGAGTAAACAGGGCCTCCGCAGTTTGCAGGGCCGTGGGGAGACCGGGCAGAGGAAGGAGGCGGCAGGACTTGGAAAAGAGATCCACAACAACCAGGATGGTGGTGTTAGCTTGTGAGAGGTGAAGATCAGTCAAAAAATCAACACTTAGGTGAGACCATGGTCGTTGTGGAACTGGTAAAGATTGTAACTTACCCCGCTGGGAGGTGCCTAGCTGCCTTACTCTGGGCGCACACCGAGCAGGAGGAGACGTACACCCTCACGTCCTTAGCCAAAGTAGGCCACCAGTACTTTCCGGTCAGGCAGCGCACTGTACGACCGATACCTGGGTGACCAGAGGAGGGTGACGTGTGTGCCCAGTAGATCAGATGATCACGGATAAGAGCAGCCTAGCTGGACACTGAGGTGGAGATGGATCTGTGCGTAATGCCTGCTCTATATCCGCATCCATCACCCATACTACCGGCGCCACAATGCAGGAGGCCGGGAGTATGGGGGTGTTGTCTCTGGGCCTCTCTTCTGTCATACAGCCAGAACAGTGCGTCTGCCTTCACGTTCTTCATACCCGGAATGTATGACAGTGAAAAATCTAACCGGGTGAAGAATAGGGCCCACCTGGCCTGGCAAGGATTCAGCCTCCTCGCTGCCCTGATGTACTCCAGGTTACGGTTGTCCGTCCAGACGAGGAAAGGGTGTTCCGCCCCTTCGAGACAATATCTCTACACGGTCAAAGCTCGGACAACAGCCAACAGCTCCCGATCACCAACGTCGTAGTTCTGCTCCGCCGGGCTGAGCTTCTTAGAGAAGAAGGCACAGGGGCGGAGCTTGGGTGGCGTGCCCGAGCATTGAGATAGGACAGTGCCTATACCTACCTCGGACGCATCCACTTCCACTACAAACGGTAGTGATGGATCGGGGTGGGCCAGTACTGGGGCTGAGGTGAACAGACCCCGCAGTCAGCCGGGACAGCCCACCCTTCAACAGGGATGTAATGGGAGCTGCGACCTTGCCAAAGCCCCGGATAAACCTTCGATAGTAGTTGGCGAAGCTACGGAAGCGCTGCACCTCCTTTACCATGGTTGGAGTTGGCCAATTACGCACGGCTGAAATGCGATCTCCCTCCATCTCCACACCTGAGGTGGTAATGAGGTATCCGAGGAAGGAGACGGACTGCTGGAAAAACATACACTTCTCTGCCTTGGCATAAAGGTCATTTTCCAACAGTCGGGCCAGCACTTTGCGAACCAGGGACACATGCTCAGCGCGCATGATGGAATACACCAGGATGTCATCGATGTAGACCACCACACCGCGACCAAGCATGTCCCAAAACACCTCGTTCACAAAGGACTGGAAGACGGATGGAGCATTCATCAAACCGTTGGGCATCACCAGGTATTCATAATGCCCCGTGGTTGTGCTGAATGCTGTCTTCCACTCATCCCCCTCCCGAACACGCACCAGGTTGTATGCACTCCTGAGATCTAGCTGCGCGGTCCTCGTCCCCTGCCTCAGATTTTCTATGGGATTAAGGTCTGGAGACTGGCTAGGCCACTCCAGGACCTTAATGTGCTTCTTCTTGAGCCACTCCTTTGTTGCCTTGGCTGTGTGTTTTGGGTCATTGTCATGCTGGAATACCCATCCACGACCCATTTTCAATGCCCTGGCTGAGGTAAGGAGGTTCTCACCCAAGATTTGACAGTACATGGCCCCGTCCATCATCCATTTGATGCGGTGAAGTTGTCCTGTCCCTTTAGCAGAAAAACACCCCCAAAGCATAATGTTTCCACCTCCATGTTTGACGGTGGGGATGGTGTTCTTGGGGTCATAGGCAGCATTCCTCCTCCTCCAAACACGGCGAGTTGAGTTGATGCCAAAGAGCTCAATTTTGGTCTCATCTGACCACAACATTTTCACCCAGTTATCCTCTGAATCATTCAGATGTTCATTGGAAAACTTCAGACAGGCCTGTATATGTGCTTTCTTGAGCAGGGGGACCTTGTGGGCGCTGCAGGATTTCAGTCCTTCACGGCGTAGTGTGTTACCAATTGTTTTCTTGGTGACTATGGTCCCAGCTGCCTTGAGATCATCGACAAGATTCTCCCGTTTAGTGCTGGGCTGATTCCTCACCGTTCTCATGATCATTGCAACTTCACGATGTGAGATCTTGCATGGAGCCCCAGGCCGACGGAGATTGACAGTTATTTTGTGTTTCTTCCATTTGTGAATAATCGCACCAACTGTTGTCACCTTCTCACCAAGCTGCTTGGCGATGGTCTTGTAGCCCATTCCAGCCTTGTGTAGGTCTACAATCTTGTCCCTGACATCCTTGGAGAGCTCTTTGGTCTTGGCCATGGTGTAGAGTTTGGAATCTGATTGATTGATTGCTTCTGTGGACAGGTGTCTTTTATACAGGTAACAAGCTGAGATTAGGAGCACTCCCTTTA